GCAACTTTCGGCGGCATTTTCTTTGGCGACACTTAGTTTCTTTGAGCGGCAGGGGTGAGGGTTCTATTGGGGGCTTGTTTCGGCGTGGGAACAGGGTGTTGGGCTCTTGTTTGGGTGCAAGGGACTTGGGGGTGTCGGAAATTCTCGATTTTTGCAGGTCCGCTCCGGCCCCGCTTGCGACTTCGGCCCTGCTGTTCCAAGATAATTCAAATCAGTCTTTGCCGGGGAGTGTGATGTTTTTGGTGTGTTTATTCCTAAAATCAACTAACTAAGAGGGCAAAACAGTCTTGCTTGTGGGGGTAACCGTTTGAATGAGGGTGAAAAACAACCAAAGGGGGGGAAGAAATGTCGTGAGGGAGAATAGGGTGATAGGGTCCGCACACGGCGGTGAGAGAGTGGACTCAAGGGGGAGAGAGGAAAGGGGGATTCGAGAGGGTCCGGGAACGTTATCAATTTGGGATCCAACCGGGTCGCCAAACATCCTCGACCCGCACGGGCTGTGGAGGGCACCCGCACGAGGTACAACTCCCACACAGGAAAGGGTTCCGCGGGAGGGTTTGGGGTTCTCGGTTCTCGACCCACGAGGGTTGTGTGGGGGGCCCGCGAGAGACACACCTCCCGCTAGGGAGCGGAGTTTTCAAGCGGGCACCGTTCGGGACTTGGGGGTAAGGAGAGTGGTGCTTCGGGTTCCGGGACTAGGGGGCGAGGAAACCTCACCCGCCGTCGTGAACTAGGGGGATAGGGGGTTGCCTCGGGAAAGAGAGGCGAGTAATACGTGGGGCGCCTTGGACCACAAGGTACATATATGTGACTGCTTAACCTGAGAGACTCTCCCTAAAACTCTACTTCCCACCCTTTCTTCTTTGAACACCCCGATTGAATTCCTTTGATTCCAAGAGAGAAAAGAGTCAGTTGGTGACAAAGAGGAAGAAGGGAACGAAGTGAGAAGGGTCCACGATGCGAGGAGGAAAATGGGAGGGAGTAGACAGGTTAGTGATCTATGATCGATAGGTGGATCAAGTCCTGGGACCCGGATAATTCCACGCTTGAGGTGGGCCGAGTAGAGGCGTGGTTCCGGATAGGCTAACTAAGACTAGGGGTCGGTTCGGCGGGGACATAGGGCACGGGTGTGTGACTTCGGTCCGACTCCGGAGCAGGGGTTGTCATTCTTCTTCGGGGATAACCTGTGTTCGCGGCTAGTCCTTATACCTGGAAGTGGGAGGACCTCTCAGCGGGGGAGGACAGGAAGGTAGACGAGTGGGACGGCGTTCCTTCTCTGGTCCATTTGATCTTGCTGGGCTCACAAGCACCTTCTTCTTGCAGGGTAGGGGTGGTCTCTCGAGTGGCCAAATAGTGAGGGAGGACTAAAATAATCTCTCTTTGGTTAGGGTGAATGAGCCTAGAAGCGGTCCTTGAAGGGATTAGCGTAAGAAGCTACGGTGGGGTCGACGTGTGGTGCTATACCTTTCACATGTGGACGGGAGACTTTGATGTGGCCATCTATGTAGAAGAGGGGCAAGATCAGGGAGAGAATTTCCTCCGCGGATGGGAGGCATCAATCGACGACTCCCGTGGGGCTAGGAGTGAGCTGCGAGGGTGCGGATTCAGTTACTTCTACTCCTTAGGATACCGAACTTATCATAGGGGCGGCCGGCCTGCGCCAGTGATTCCGGACGCCTATCTCGACGGGTCGGACGGGTGGAGAATATTAGTCACAATTATAGAAGAAATAGTGGGGCGCCAATGAGCTTAGGGGCTCTGGAGTTTGAACCAGCAGGCATTAGCGCGGGAGGCCGTGGGGGTGTAAATGTATGGTGCTACAATTTTTACCTGTGGACATGGGACTTCGCTATAACACTTTACGTGGAAGAATGGACTGACCGAGGGGGAAACTTCCTAAATAGTTGGGAAGAAGCGGTTGGACATGCTCAGCTAGAGAGAGAGATTTTAGGGCACTACTGGATTAGATATTTCTATACGTTGGGGTATCGAACCTTCCGGCAAGGCGGGCGACCTGCCCTTGTGATACCGGAGGCATATCTGGATGGGTCGGACGGGTGGAAAGTATTTGTAGCGATCATAGACGAGATTGTGGAGAGCTTATGAGTCTAGGGGAGTTAGGACTTGAGCCGGCAAGCGTATTTGGTGGAGACCATTAGAGAGGTAGTGTGGAGCCAGGAGGGGTATGGTTAGGATTGTAGAGGCAGGAGAAGACGACAGAGTAAAAATCGAGAAGGCTAACCTTCTCAAAGAACGAGAATGCTTTAGTATCCCCTTGGATCATTGTACGGAGAGGTACCTAGCGGGGCGTGAGAGAGGGGTGGAGCTTGAGAAGGGTGTCTTTCTTTGGGCACGATTTGCCGTAGGCATTTGGGAAGGAGATCAGTGGACCAAGAATAGGCCTAGGAACGGAGGGAAGGCCCGACGAGCAGCAGTTCGTGCCGAGGGCACGGTCTATTTGAGTCGAGAGGCGTGGGTCGAGTACGTTACCCACTGGGCCTTGGGGTGGTATCGGGCGGACCACTGCATAGCCTGCCTTTCCGCCTGAGGGTAACTTGCGCCCGAGACGAGGAATATCCTCGAGCTACGGGTTGCGTCCAGACTATCTCCCTTCTTACGTCTTCAGGAGGGTGTGTGGAGAAGGGGCTGTGTACGAAAAAGTAGTGAGGTCTATAAGGCGAGAGAGAAGGAGAGGCCTATCCTTTCGCTCGCTCCATTGGTTCTACTCCTATTGCATGGACAACCCGGTGTCGTACGGGGTTAGAGCAGATCGGATCCGGGAGAGGATCTCTCTGGAGTCGGAGAGAGATCGTGAAGGCGGGCAAGACTACCGGTACCAAAGGGTGTTTGGAGTCCACCAAAAGGTGGGTTAGAATGAATGGTTCGATGTGCTCGGAGCATCGGTAGGTTTGTTGAGTCCTCTCTAGACGAGCGAGGGGTGTGTAGCCTGGTTCCAAGCAACGGGAGAATCCCTGACTGAAGAAGGTTAGAAGGAGGGGAGATTACGACCGAAGGAAATTTCGTATGGGTAGAATCGGAAGAGGCGGAGGAGAGAGCGACAGAGGTGTGTCTTAAAGTCACCTCGATAATCTTCGTCAAGTCGGAGGCTTGATCGAAGATTATTGTACCCCTGGTCTTGGGCCAAGGGGTTGGGCTGGACTTGTTAATGAGGGAGGCTAGAGAAGTCAAAAGGAGGTGGATAGATAGGGTCCGAAAGGAGTTTGAGTTTGAGGCGTTGGAAGCCGAGAGGTTCGCCAGGGAAGGCGAACTCCCAAGGGCAAGTTACCCTGTGACCGTGTGGGTCCCAGATTTTGTGTTCTCAAGAGAAAGTGAGGGAAGAGTGGTGAGACTCCTGGAAAGAGGAAGGAGTTTGAGATTACCCTTTGGGGCCCTCTGGACGCTGTACACGCATTGTATCGATTAGGGTATCCCTCCCCGCGGGAAGCTTTGGGGTATTTTTAGGAGATTGCGGTCCCTAGAGAAACCCTTTACTCTCTCACCGGAAAGATACCGCCGGTGGGTTTTCAAAACGGCGTTGGTAGATGGTGAGATTTGTGCTCAGTGAAAACGGGGTGGTAGAGGCAATAGAGGCTAGTGACTCGGGTAAAGTCTTGATTCCGGGAGACCCTCGCGTGACACCTTACTGGATGAGCATTGAGAAAGGCGGAGTCATCCGAGAAGGGGCCTACGTGTGGGTTGAACTTCGAGCTTGCAGGCTCACCGGGAAGGAAGGAGTGCAAAGAGGAGGTCCGCCAGACCTCGGTCGTTTCCTAGAGATTCAAGCTATGATCTTCCTCAACGAGGACACGTGGACTGAAGTGTGGAGGGGGTTAGTAACAGGCCAAGAGACCCATACGGAGTACTGTGAGTCGGCAAGGTTGTTAGCAAACAGCCTGGTACTAGGTGATTATGAGGAGGGGACCTTCGAGTCGTGGACACAGGTGTCCTTCGCCGAACCAGGAGAGGTTCCTCGTGAGTCCGGAGTCCTCCACGCGAAGCTGCGCCAATTTCTGGCACGCTCATTCCTGAGAGACCCGGAGGAAAGGGTGGTGGCGGTACTTAAAGCCGCTCGGGAATCCGGAGTGCGGACAAGGGGTTTGTTTTGGCTCTACACGCGGTGTGTAGACGTTGGGGTTCTCCCGAGGGGAGAGCTATCCTCTATATTCGAGAGGTTAAGAGTCTCAGAGTTTGAGGGGGTCTGAGCTCACGTCGCAAACATCCCGTACGCCGCCTCTTTGGGGAAGAACAGGTGGCTAACCGGCGGGGATATGAAGCTCGTTGATAAGAGGGGTTCCAGGAACTCTTTGGGCCTCGATAGAGCCCGTGAGTGGGGAAGGAGAGGTTGTCCACGTCTCACTATCCAAGGAAAGTCAAAAGGACCGGCCAAGGGTCATTCGAAGGGAAGTAGCAGAGATCCGCCAAGAGAGAGCATTCGTTCGATTGACAGTGAGCAGTGGAGAGGGGTTGGTGGTCGGAGAGGCCACAGTGTTCCTCTCTAAGGAGGGGTTTCTGGAGATAGTCCGCAACTTGAAATTGAGAGAGGACCCGCTTGTGGACGTGCCGACGATTCAAGCACGTCTTGAGAGGCTTGTGGAGGAGGCAAAGCCTCGAGGGGAGTGCCCTAGGATCTGCTGAGTGACCTACACAGGTTGGGAAGAAATACCTCAGTTTTTCGACAGTGACCTCGTCAGAGTCCCTCGATTCATCCTTGAGCGGATTTATCCCTCGGAAGCGGTCCGGAAGGCGGTGGGATGTAGGATCGCGATCCTGAACCAATTTCGGTTCACAACGTCGGACCTGCATTCCCTATTCACCTGGTGCCTTCAGAGCCCATACGAGGACAATTGGTCGTCACTAGAGGGTCGGGGCTACGCCTTTGAGGGTTGGGGCCAACACGTAAAGGTTTCAACCATTACCTGGAGATACTTGGGCAAAATCTGTGAGGCGGGGTTAGAAGGATTAGACCCGTCGGATCTCATACGGATAGCTATAGCCTGTCGGCGGAGGAATTTGAGGCATGAGTGAGCCTGACATCGGTGAACTAGTGGGTTTAGAAAGGGTTAGGGCAGAGTTGTGCCGAATATTGGCCCTTTGCTGGGAAGAGGAAAGGAGGGTGAGGCCAGGAGCCTAACGGAGGATCAAGTTGTTAGAGACTACCGTGATCAAAATACTAGATGACTTAAAAGAGGAGCTACTCTCCGGGAGAGGAGAGGCATGAGAGCCACCTACACCTCGAGCTCGATAGATTGGGAGTTGGAGACAAGGGACGACGACGCCGAGGTCCAGATAGTAAGAGGAGCGGATCTTGGCCGAGGCCGAGAAGACCAAGTGGTTAGGGCCTTGAAGAGCTTCCTTGTCGAGGTTCGGCGACAGGCCTTGTGGAAAAGGAGGTCCTGGACTACCTTAGCAAGGTTTTCGATCGCTATTAGGGGGGCAACAGGACTGAGGTTCTCTAGAACGTGGAGAGAACCACTGTCGAAGGTCGAGGGAAGATTTGAGGAGGACTCTAGGTGGCTTGGAAACCTACTCGAGGCCAAGGTGCACCTAGTGGAGGCGCGTTTTTGGGATAGGTCGGGTGAGTACGAACAGGCATTACGTCGAACGATACTCGAGCAAGGCGAAGGCTTTCGAGAAAGGTGTGAGGACTCACTCGTCGAGGCGGCGGAGAGGTTGGCTCGGGTAGGGTAAGCCGGCCAATAATTAGGTACGATAGGGGAGACCCTATCGGAATCTTGGAACCAGCCTGGAAGACGGGATCTAGGTATGGAGTGACCCTTCCTAGAATTGAGGAAGAAGGAGAGGTCACTACAGAATTCTTCGAAATATACGGGGAAGAAACGCTAGTCCGTTTCTCGATAGTCTCAGAAGACGGAACCCGCACACGAAGAGCTGAGATCTACTTGTCTCCCGACGACAGGCAGTTCTTTGCTACAGACTTGGCAGAAGGAAAGGACCCTCTGAGTATAGCGGAGAGACACCGAGACCGACTTAGAAGGTTGAGAGGGGGAGTGACAGGAAGGCGTGAGATAGAAAAGGTTGAATACCGAGGGCGGTTAGAGATCCCTTGGGCGGCCCACGGGAGAACCTGGGAGATTCCTGCTTGGGTCTACCGATTGCTCTACCCCGACGACGACGCAGTGAGGAAAGTCCAAATTAGAGGACCGATAATTGAGAAATTTCCCCTGGGGGAAGAAAAGGGGCACGAGCCGTTCACTCTGTGTTGGGAGTCCCTAGAGCTCACGGATTTTGAGTGATGGGCTTTGGTTGGCGATTTCATCAAACCCCTGTTCTCCGGACAGGCCGGCGAGGTGGATAGAGACCTGATTAGGCGGTGCGCGCAAGAAGGGACTAGGGGCATCTCAGACCAGGAGATTGTCAATCTTGCGCTGACCGTTAGCGAGGAGAAGAAACTGCGGGACTCTTGGTGGATGGTGACTAGCGAGGGGTCTGAAGGGGATAATGAGATACAAGGATCGAGTAAAGAAGGAAGAGGCTCAGAGGAGAGTAGTGGGACGACCAGCCGAGGGAGTGACTCTATCGAGGAGAGCGACTGAGAACTGGTGCATGGAAAGTGTGGTGGAGCATGGGGTAGCCCAATCACCCAAGACCGCCACGATGGGGCGAGCCGAGGAAGACGCCGAGTTAAAGGTGAGATTGAGCAAGACAACCGAAGGAGTGACCAAAGGGGTAGAGGCTATGGGCAGGGCCCTAAGGAGCCAGGAAGAACCATCGGGGAGAAAACTACTAAACCGCGAGCTAGCTCGGATGAGCATTTGCACCGAGAAATGGAACCACGCGTCCCTATGAGAGAAAGGGTGGCCAAAGCCACAACGGGCTTCCCCGTCGAAACCCGATGGGCGGACCACGTGGAAGAGAGAATCGGCGAGGGGCAGGAGTGCCCTCACGACAGGGCTGGATGTTGGGCACCAAGGAGGAGCGAGGAAGGGGGCCTGAGGAGGAGGGAACTTGGGGACGGATGACCAACCGAGATCGGGGGAGGACCGCGAAGATGGGCAAGCAGGGAGATCGGTTTCGCTTGGGTGCGAGAAAAGGCAGTAGGCAGGAATACGGGAGGACCCAGAGATGTCTGGAGAGGGGCCAGGGCCCCGGAGTCCATGCACTGAGAACGCGAGGACCCAGGTTATGGGGTTCGCAAGGAGGAGGAACCATTGGGACCTCCGAGACATCGACCCCGGATGGAGGATTTGGACCCTTTCTGGTACAAACCTTACGATCCAGCGTTAGATGGGCCGGCCGACAGACCTTACTTCCGTCGATATGACGATCACCGAGTCCCTTATTACGATGTAAACCTAGGGCTAGAGTCGCTCTACTTTAACGGAAGGGACGTGACCGGGTTCGTGGAAAAGTGGGAGAGCTACGCCTACCGAAAACGTTTTCGAAAAAAGAGTGGATCGACCACTTCGTACAACATCCGGACCCGGAGCTGGACCAGGCCATCAGGGTCGTATATCCGTCTGATGGAAGGTGGAAGACCTTCAAAACCAGCCTACTGAGGATCTTTGCGTGTGACGACATGATCCCCACGATAGAGGGGCTGTGTCGGGTGACGAAAGGAGAACAAGAAAGTCTGGTGGCTTTTACGCGACGGTTCAAACGCTTGTCCCAGGCCTTGGTGGATAGAGGGATGCTTTCGGAAGTCGACAGGTGCGTGATGTTCATGTTGCACCTGCCTGAGGAGAAGAGGAGGGAGGTCCTCGAAAAAGGCCCTAGGGACTCCGCTAATTTTGAGAGGGTCGCCGAAGTAGTCTTCACCGGAGGAGGTGTAGACGTACGGGAATATATGAAGGAAAGTCTGGACATGGCACTCCGGAGTATGCGCTCCCAAAATGGGGACAGTCCTCGTGGTAATGAAAGGCAGCCTCTAGGGCCCCCCGCCCAGCGCTGGGGAGGAGGACCCCCGGGTTGGCAGAACGAACCTGGCAATCAAGTAAGTCGGAGGGCCGATCGAGAGGCCGGAGGGAATCGTACCTCCGAATGGGGAAATTCCCAGTGGAAGGATGCAAGGGATGGAAGGTGAGGAGACCCTCCCCAACCGAGAGGCATGGGGGCTCGACCAGAGGTCAGTCAAGCTAGAACGTTGCCGCCTACCGGACCTCTCGCGGCAAAGGGAGCACCCGCTCAGGTCGCTCCCCGCCCTTACAACCCGCCGCCTCGTAGCGGGTGTGTCTATTGCAACGAGGAGGGTCACATCAAGCGAGAATGCCCTTACCTTACGGAAGCCCTAAGGTTGGGGGTAGTGAAATTGAATGAGAGTAAGTGGGTAGTTTGGGGAGATGATGGGGAAGCAGTCTCCTTCTATCCCTCAATGAAGATGAATGTGGACAAGAGGATAGCCCTCCAGGAGGCAAGGTTGGGGAAGAAGTCCGAGGTTGGGGGTACCTCCAACTCATCCCATGTCCAAATGACAGAATCATCAGGAGGCGTGTCCATTAGGGAACCCCATGTGTCAAGCATCAAGTTCGTTGAGACCCAGCCTGAAGACGAAGGGCCTTGCCTAAGGGTAAGAACCCAAGTTGGGGCCGAGACGTCTACGGGCAAGGAGAGCGAGGCGGGAGATGGAGGAAGAAGGAGCGGCGACGACGACCAACCGATGGCCGACGCCAAAGGCGCGGAAGAAAGGAAAGAGGAACCCACCTCACCAAAATCACCTAGAAAGAGGGGGCCGAAAAAGTTCGAGATGAAATGCACCTTAGAAGAGATAGACACGGTAGCTCCCCTACGGAGGACCCTAATGCAGCCTATGAAGTGCACGCTTCTGGAATACTTGGTGGACAGCAAGAGTGCTAGGGAAGAACTCCTAAGCATCACGAAGAAAGTGAGAGTCCCGCTCGCCGGAGGACCCACGGTTCCCGGGGATGGTCCAGCCAAGGAGGAAGTGCAGTCCTCCCGGATCACCATGGAGGAGCTGCCGGTAAACTTCTTCTCGGGAGAAGAGGAGTTCTATGTATTAGAGAGCGGCCAGCTCCAAGCTGTGGTGAGTGGAAAGAAGATGCCGAATCCACAGTATGTAGAGACTTCATTGCCCGGGAGTTAGGGTTGGAAATAGATAGAGGGATATCAATGTCGATGGTCGTAGCGGATAACAAGCTACAGCCGGCAGAAGGGGTGTGTCACAACCTCGTGATCGAGGTCGCGGGTGTCGAGGCGTCGGTCCCAATATTTTCGGTGAAGGAGTGTTCCTCGGAGTTGATCCTCGGAAGAACCTGGCTGAGCGTGGTTCACGCTACCACAGTTGACCTACCAAACGGGAGTCGGACTCTCTCAATCCAGAGTCCGAATGAAATCCGGGTGGTCCTAAAGACCGTGGTCGCTCAAGATGAGCGAAATCGGACCAGCATTCCAAGACGGAAGGAGGCCCAATCAAAGGTGTGCCAAGTCCGTCTAGAAGAGGCACCCCTTGCCAATAAGGAACCCCCGGGGGACCAATTAAAAGTCGAAGATGTCGGGAGTCGGGTTGTGATCAACGGGGTAGGATACGAGAAGGAGGACGAGAAGGAGTTTGGTGGGTACATAAGACTGTCTTTTTTGAGAGGAATCCCCCTAGCCGGCGGAATCAAGAAATATAAAACCGTCAAGGTGGCGGAAAAGGTGAAACCCGCCGCGGTCAGCTGGGATAGAACGGGGGAAACCTCGATATCGAAGGAGGAGATCACCGATATCATCCGGAAAAGGAAGGAGACCGAGGGACAAAGAATTACGGCCGATAGGTTGGCCAATATGGATATAGGGGATGAAAACCTTATGGAGAAAGAGAAGCGTAACAATGACCCTAAGGGGCTGCGATAAAGCCATTGCCTTCGATGACTCGGAAAGGGAAATAATCGACCCAAGGTACGCTAAGCCTACCCGGATCCATACGATTCCGCATGTGCCTTATAAAGATAGACCCCAATGGAAGTACGCTCAAAAGGAGAAGGAGGAGATAGTGTTCTTTATCAAAGAAAAGATCAGAACATACGTCGCAGAGCCTTGTGAGAGTGCCTACTCCAACAAATGGTTCTTTTTGAGGAAGGGAGGTAGCAACAAGTTGAGGTGGATCCAGAATCTCCAAAGGACCAACGCAGTCACCATAAGGGATGTAGGGTCCATACCTGAAGCGGATCTACTCGCGAAAGGATCAGCGGGTTGCTCAATCTACTCGATTTGCGATCTCTTCTCGGGGTATGATGAGATCCCCTTGGACTACCGAGATAGGCACATGACCGCTATGCATACGCCTCTAGGGCTGGTCCAAATTATGGTGGTACCAATGAGAAACGAATAACGTGGCGGTATTCCAAAGGGCCATGATTGCGGTCCTCAAGGAATTCATACCGGAGAAGGTGGAGGTCTTCCTTGATGACTTCCCGATAAAAGGGTCAGTCAAACGGGACGAGACGGAGGTCTTCCCCGAGGTGAGAAAGTTCGTACTGGACCACATGCGGGATGTCAGGGACGTCCTTGCGAAATCAAACGACGCCAACCTTGTGGTGAGTGAGACTAAGAGTCACTGGGGAGTGTCGTCAATCAAGATATTGGGCTTCGTCTACGACAGGGATAGGCGGAGGCCCGATCCCGGGAATTGGAAAAATTAATGACCTGGCCGTCACCGCTAAAATCGATAACGGAAGTTAGGCAATTTCTAGGGGTGGTGGGCTACTGGAGGATCTTCATAAAGGCCTACAGTGAGAAAGCGGAGCCCCTTAGACAACTTCTTAGAAAAACGGAAGGGTGGAGCTGGGGAGACGAGCAGGCTGCGGCCATGGAGGTCCTTAAAGAAGAGTTTCGTGAAGGTGGGCAGGTCCTAGGAGTTCCGTTCTTCGAGGATGAGGAGAATCGCCCGTTCATAGTTTCTACGGACGCTGGACCTTGTTCCACAGGAGGACTTCTGTCCCAAAAGGATCAAAACGGGAAAGAGAGGCCTCTTCGTTTTGAGAGTCGGGCCTTAAATCCCGCCGAGAGAAACTATAGCCAATTCAAGAAAGAAGTGTTAGAGGTGTTGCACTGCTTAAAGACATTTCGTCACTACATCTACAGGTGACGTTTCCTCCTGAGAGTAGACCCGACCGCGGTAGAGGCTGTCCTTCTGAAGGATTTCTCTCTGACCGACCCAACTATCGCCAGGTGGATGATACATATTAGGCTCTACGACTATAGGGTCGAGCGGATCTCCGGGGCAAAAAATCAGGTCGCTGATGGGCTGTCCCGACTCCCGATCCGAGAGGAGGATTACCAGAAGTTAGAAGATGCGAGGGCAGCAATGACCAAGGAAGAGATAATCCAAGTAACCGATAACTGGGCGCGAGTGGGGGTGACCATCCGAAAGGAAGGAGGGAGCGCGGAGACGTTCCTCGCTAACCTTTACGACGGGAAGTACCGCGACATAGGACTTTATCTAGCAAGCAGAGAGGAAGGCACCGAGGTTATTAGAAGGGAAGCGCTCGGGTATTGCCTACGAGGAGGGCACCTCTTTAAGAGGCCTACCAAGTTTGCGATTTCTATGAGGGTGCTTTGTGATCCGGAGGAAACGAAGGCGGTCATAGAAGAACTGCACGACGGGGTCGTCGGAGGGCATAGAGGGGTAAAAGGGACCTTTGATAAGGTCCGTAGACTTTATTGGTGGGATGGACACTACAGGGAAGTAGAGAGGTACTGTTTGACCTATGAAGCTTGCCAAAAGAGGGCGACCGTTCACTACACAGAGCCCCTGGACCCTTCGCTCCACACTGTTCCGGGCGAGAAGGTCCATGTTGACCTAGTAACCATGCCTAAGGGAGTCGGCGGGCTTCGGTACATAATCAATGCCCGCGACGACCTCACCGGACTCGAAGAAGCTAGGCTATTAAGAAAAAGACGGTCGAGGAGATGAATGACTTTCTCTTGGAGTACATTGCCTGGTACAATTGTGTCGGAAAGATAGTTATGGATAGGGGATCGGAATTCCTGAGTCAAAGGGTCAAGGTGATATTAGAGAAGGCAGGGATTAAGGCAGCCTACACGACCGCCTTTCACCCCCAAAGCAATGCTCCGGTCGAAAAAGGTCACCAAACCCTTGTAGACGCCTTGGTGAAATGGTGCAAAGGACGTGCGGAGCAATGGCCAAAGTATTTGTATTATGCAGTTTGGGCGGATAACATCACAGTCAAATCAAGTACGGGGTATCCACCTTACACCCTTTGGTTCGGTAGACACTGTCCCTTGCCCATCGAGTTCCACGTCGATACTTGGACAAGTGTCGACTAGAAGACCAACATGACAAGGGGGGACTTATTAGAAGCAAGGACTCGCCGAGGCAGGAGATAACATCGAGAAGGAGAAAGTGAAAGGGAAGGAAAGGTGGGACAAGAACTTGTGGGTCCATCAAACACCGATGGGGACCGGGGACCTCGTCCTAATGTACGACTCGTCGCTAGAAAGGACTTGGAGCTGGAAACTAGCCAACCGATGGATGGGGCCGTACCGAGTACTAAAACGCTTGGATGGGGGAGCTTCTCTGCTGGCCAAATTAGATGGGACTAGGCTACGGGACCCAATCGCGGGGGCTCGCTTCAAACTCTTCAGATGGAGGGGAACCCTTAGGGAAGAACCAAAAAGGAAGGAAAAGGAAGCGGTCGACGCGGAAGTGACTATCACACGCGAAAAAGGGGAGTCTTCGAAGAAAGGGGCCTCTTCGCGACCGCCTAGGAGGGGGTATAGGGTTCGGAAACCTCCCCTGCCAAAGACCCCTAGAAGGAAGAAACGGCCGAGAGAGGATGAAAGAGACGTCGACCAATTGGGAAAACGCCGGTTAAGAGAAAGGGGAAGCGCGTCGAGAAAAGCCTTGACGGTCAAACGTGAGAGGGAAGAAAGAAAGCGAAAGAAAGAGAACCGATAGAAGATGAGGAGGAGGCGAAGACGGGTGTAGAATCGCCCGACAAAAGGGGGGATGAGATGTACTATAGTTAGGAAAACGTGTATCATAGGGCGGTGTGTGTGTCAGGGTAGTACCATCAGTTCCCAAGATGGGAGACTAGGGGGAAGACCGTGCCAAAAAGGGGGATAATACGAACCATGGGTAAAGGAAAAACATGATCATTAGGATTGGGGCGGAGGTCGAAGAAAGGGATGGTTTACAAACAAGGCTCGCCGGGGACGACGAGAAATGGGGCGTGGGCTGGCTGTCGGGTGGCTGCCTACCAGCCGAAGGACATTTTGGTTTTTTGAATGAATTTCCCAACCTTTCTTGTTGTTTTTTTTGGCTGAGTTGATGGATGCTTGCATGCGATTGAGAGGTTTGTGGGTGCTTCTATGTTTATGGGGGTTCTTACTAACCTCACAAGGGACCGAAGTGGCGGATCGAACTGCGATCGTAAGCGGGCTCTCGCGGACTTTTGAAACCAAGGTTTTTTTTGTCGGGGTCAGGATATCCTGTGTTGAGGGCTGACTCTGGGGCAGGGCGTAAAATGCACCGGATAAGAGGACCTGGGAAGCTGACACAAGGAGCCAGTACGGACAAGAGGAGCCGAGAATCCCAAGGGTCGTTCGGAGGAAGCAGCCGACTTGTATCTGGACGTTGGAGTAGAGCCTCCTGCAGAAGACGGGCCTGAAGGTTCAATAAAAATGCGATCAGCCTAATGATCCTCTCCGCGCGATTCGCTGGTCAGCACAGGGGACGACAACTCCGAAAAGGGGGTGATGGTGAGGCGACTACTCAAGGCCATAAGATTCGGCGTAAAACAAAGAGGGTGAAGCAAGCTAGGCCGCCCGAGCAACCGCACGGGAGACGGACGAAAGGGCAATGATGGGGTCATCGGGTCTTCAGAAATCAAGCATCGAAACAAGGGCGGGCCCCGGTGCCCCGGAGTATATATGAAACCAGAGAAAACTGGACATGTCAGCCTGGTGGGGGAGGGGGCGAGCGACGATAGAATTCTGGCTGGGGCAATCCGAACGAGGAGAAAGGAAGGGAATCGGGCACAGGACTGGGAAGCCGAACAGTCGTTGGGGAACGCGCGCTCTGTCTTCTTGATAACTGTCGACAGAGGGTGGAGGCATGCGAATGGGACAGATACTGGCGAGAATCAGGCGGAGAGCTCCGCTGGCTCCGAGACCGACAGACCAAAGGTCGCAAGCTCGACCACGACAGGTCCTAGTGAAACCCGGGGAAAGAGAGGGAGAGAGAACGGGATGCGACGATTGGGCAAGGTAAGGATGAGAGGATCGGTGGTCAGACTAGTCGGAGCTCTAAAAAACGAGAGCGAAGGAGGCAAAAGCGCTATGAACGGGCGAAGGGAGCAAGCAAGAAGATTCCGAGCGGCCGAAACTAAGTGACTGCAATAGGCGGGAGAATTTCGAAAAATTTCGACATGACGACCAGCGAGAAATGAAAATTCTAGGAGATCGAGAAAGAACGCGCTCTCTGTCTTCTTGATAACTGTCGGCAGAGGGTGGAGGCATGGGAACGGGACAAATATTGGCAAGAATCAGGAGGAGAGCTCAGCTGGCTCTGAGACCGACAGACCAAAGGTCGCAAGCTGAACCACGACAGGTCCTGGTGAAACCCGGGAAAAGAGAGGGGGAGATAACAGGATGCGATGATTGGGCAAGGTAAGGATGGGAGGATCGGTGATCAGACTAGTCGGAGCTCTAAGAAACGAAGAGCGAAGGGGGCAAAGCACGATGATTGGGCGAAGGAAGCGAGTAGAGGGATTGTGAGCGGCCAAAGGAAAGAAAGGGGAGGTTTGCGAAACTAATTGACTGCAATCGGCGGGAGAATTTCGGGAAATTTTGAAGGGACGATCGATGGGAAATGAAAATTCTAGGAGATCGAGAAAGCCGCTACCGAAAAAGGAGAAAGGAGGGTTGAGGGGTTGGCGCGTATAAAGAGGGGAGGGGTGGAGCCAAAAAATGGTTTTGTTTTTAGGAGGAATGCACGGAGCGCACGAAGCTCGCCCGCGTACGGTTCCAACTGCAGCTAGCCTGCTCCCGGTGGTGGGGCAGAGCACCGGCGCTCGGACTGGGAGTGAACACGCTCGAGATCCGAGTTCACC